GACTACGTTCACCCCAGGTGGGGGAACTCTGTCGACGTAGGTGCCGGTGGATCTCCAAGATGCCATCTCCTGCTCCATGACAGCTATCCACTGGGAGGCCCAAGGTCCCGAGACCGCCTCAGCGTAAGTGCGTGGGGTCGGGATGTCGAGTGCGTCTAGGTCACCCTCAGGGACTAGCAACATGGAACAGAGATGTGGAGCAGCCTTAGACAGGAAAGCAAGCTCGTATTGGCAGTCCTCCAGGACGTCACTGCCAAGGACAGACGGAGGGCAGGCAGGGTCAGAGACCAGAGCGGTGGTGTAGTCAATGCGGTGGGTAGAGTCGAAGTCAGCGATCGCAGCGACAAGAGCGTCAAGGCGCGAAACCGGAACAGACGGGTCGGTAACGAGAGAGGCAAGGACCCGAGGATCAAGAGGGCGAGCGGCACGAAGGAATTCAGACAGCGGGGGAGGCGCAACGACAAGGGAGGACGGAGGAGGCGACGGCAGGAGGGGAGGATGAGCCACATGGGAACGAAGCAACATAGGGTGGGAGCGTGGGACAGGGGAGACAGGGCGAGCATGGGAGGGACGGCGAGACCAGACGTGCGACGGAGGAGTCGGGTCAGGAGACAGAGGAGGAGACACAAGAGGGGAACGAGGAGGGAGACGAGCCTGGGAGACCTAGGACAAGACCGTGCTGTGACACGTAACAGGGACGCGGGAGCACAGGGTAACGGTGGTGCCACAAGAGGGTCGGGTGAGTAAGCGACCGACACGAGGAGGCCGCTGCAACCTGAGACGACACAGCTACCTGGGGAGGCGTCCAAACCGCGGGGGGCGCGGTGTCCAGTGTGAACAGGCCACACACCGGGTCCCCGGGGAACGTAACAAGGGGAGCACCAGTGGCGGTCTCAGTACAGACATTAAGCCGCTCGTGACCAGGGAACGTAGTGCTGACGCCAAGGTCCTGGAGGAAGCCAACACAAACTAGGTTCCTGGAAAACGAGGGGACGTGCAAGCCTATGAGCGAGCCCGAAGAAACCGCCGGGCAAGGAAGGGTGGTAGTACTACGAGCGACTACCGGACCGGAGGAGGGGTCAACAAGGGAAACCGCAGCAGGAGCAGCAAGTGGGGACAGCGTGGTGGAGTCGCGGAAGAAACACCGGGAAGCGCCAGAGTCCAGGGTGAAGGTGAGCGCAGCAGTGGCGGCTGAGGTCGAAGCAGCGATGGAGGAACCTAGGCTAAACAAGGCAGGAGGTCCTACGCCTGACGCAGCAGGGGGGGCACGACTAGGCATACCTACACTAGGCAACACGGGGTAGTAAGAACCAGTCACACTAGAGTCATCAGCATACAGTGCAAACAGGGCAGAGCTAAGCGCATCCATGTCCATATCAAAAATCGGAATACTATGACGAAGCAAGCTGAACCAGTCGGTGAGGTCAGGTGACGGGCCGAAGCGAAGGCGAAACATGTCGTCAAGGCGACGGAAGCAGCGAGCAAGGGAGTGACCGGTCTTACCGCAAACGGAGCCGCGGCGAGGACCGGTCTGGAGCTGGTACTGGCAGCGCCCGTCACCCGAACTGCCACCCGCGAGCACACCACGCGCACGTCCACCTCCACGTCCACCGCCGCCACCAGCGCCTGCTGCGATTGCTGCGGCTGCTGCAACTGCTGTGGCAGGAGCGGGGGCTGCGGCTGCGGGTGGTGCTGGTCCGGTTGCGATGGTTGCGGCTGCTGGGATGGTTGCTCGGCGGCACCAGGGACAGTCCCCTCGTCTGCGACACCACCAGGCACTACGACTCCACAACCACCTCCACCTGCACCCCCACCCCCGCCGCCGTGCCAAGCCTTGGGGCGGCGACCCTTCCCCGGACGGAGCTGCGCTGCAGCAGCAGTCTCAGCCACAGCAGCAGAACCGTCGGAGAAGGTGTACTGGGCAGGGGCACAACCCTGAGAGATGGGGACCGGCACAGTACCGCTAGTCTGGGCGATAGAGCGGTGGCGGGTCTCTATGGCAGACAGGGTGTCGACAAAGTCGGTAAGGGTGAGGTCACCAGGGTGGACGCTAAGGAAGCGGTCGCGAGCAGTGGCAAGACGGTCAGGGAGGCGGGTGTCTAGCAGGTAAAGGGCAGAGCAGAGGGGCGGTTGATGAGCTCTAAGCTGGGTCTCAGTGCAGGCAGAGCGCAGGTCGCGTCTATCGTGCGCAAGTGGGCGGCAAGGTCAGCAACAGTACGGAAAGACGCAAGGTCAGGGAAAAGCAGCAGTAGGATCAGACGACCTACAGAGGCAGCAGGCGGGGTGGAATAGCGCTGGACAACAGCATCTAGGAATGCCGGCGTAGTCGTGACGGACTTAAAGCGAGGGAGCTCAGAGAGTGGGAGGGCATGGCTGATAGCAAGCTGCGCAACAACGTCACGCGACAGCCAGACAGAGCGAGCAAGGGCAGTAGCGGCAGCGGACTCACGCTCAGCAGACGAGGGGTCAGCAGGCAGCGCAGCAGGGGGGTTAGGGCAGGGGAGCGTACCGTCAAGGTGGACTGACAGCAAGTGGCCATCCTGCTGCTGACCAGTGAGATGGCGGCGGAGGTCGACCAGCCATGCGTCAAACTCAAGCGGCTGACCCTCAGCATCGAAGCGAAGTACTTCCGCCATCAGGAACGATGCAGAGCAGTGCAGTGCGGTACTGAGCGGTGTAGTGCGGTACAAGGCGGTGCACTGCGGTGCACTGCGGTGCAGCGCAGTGCAGTGCGGTGCCAAGCGGTGGAGGACGGTACCAAGTGGTGGAGAGCGGCTCTGGGCGGTGCAGGGTAGTGCGCATCGGAGAAGGACAAAACGGGCACGAGGCAGAGACGGGCCGTCGGCGTAGCGAGCCCGGGGCCGGCTAGAAGAGGGGGGGGGAGGGGCCGACGAGGGACGGGCGCGAGGGGGGTCGGCGAGGAGCGGGCGCGACAGGGGCGCGAGGGGCCGGCTAGGAGCGGGCGCGAACGGCTAGGGCGCCTGCTAGGAGGGGCGCGACGGCCAAGGGGGGGGGCCAACTAGGAGCGGGTACAAACGGCCAGGGGGCCAGCTAGGGGCGGGCGCGAACGGCCAAGGGGCCGGCTAGGAGCGGGCGTGACGGCCAGGGGGCCAGCCAGGGGCGGGCGCGACGGCCAGGTGGGGCCGGCTAGGGGAGGGCGCGACGGCCAGGGCGGCCGGCTAGGGGCGGACGCGACGGCCAGGGGGCCGGCTAGGGGCGGGCGCGACGGCCAGGGGGCCGGCTAGGGGCGGACGCGACGACCAGGGGGCCAGCAAGGGGCGGGCGCGACGGCCAGGGGGCCGGCTAGGGGCGGACGCGACGGCCAGGGGGCTAGCTAGGGGCGGGTGCGACGGCCAGAGGGCTGGCTAGGGGCGGACGCGACGGCCAGGGGGGGGCGGGCTAGGGGCTGACGCGACGGCCAGGGGTCCAGCTAGGGGCGGGCGCGACAGCCAGGGGGGCCGGCTAGGGGTGGACGCGACGGCCAGGGGGCCAGCTAGGGGCGGACGCGACGGCCAGAGGGCCAGCTAGGGGCGGGCGCGACAGCCAGGGGGCCGGCTAGGGCGGGACGCGACGGCCACGGGGCCAGCTAGTGGCGGGCACGACGGCCAGGGGGCCAGCTAGGGGCGGGCGCGACGGCCAGGGGGCCGGCTAGGGGCGGACGCGACGGCCAGGGGGCCGTCACGGGCGGGCGCGACGGCCAGGGGGCCGACTAGGGGCGGGCGCGACGGCCAAAGGGCTGACTAGGGGCGGGCGCAAACGGCCAGGCGGCTGGCTAGGAGCGGGCCACGGGCCAGCTAGGGGCGGGCGCGACGGCCAAGGGGCCAGCTAGGGGCGGGCACAAACGGCCAGGGGGCCGGCTAGGAGCGGGCGAAACGGCCAGGGCGGGCCAGCTAGGGGCGGGGCACGAGGGGGGGCTAGGGCCTAGGGCGAAAGCGCGGGCGAGCGAGAGGAACCTAACCTACTCATGATACCATGTTGGAAAGAGAGAATGACTAGAATAGGAAGATACAGGGCAATATAGACTAGTGTGTTGTGCCCTCTAAGGCACAAACCTGTATAGTCTACAGTAACTACATAAGTTATGTTTGACATAAACAACTTGTTCAGGGCCTGCGATGTCGCTTGGTGGTGTTTAGCCTAGCTATCCGTGTTTTTCATAAAACCAAGGCCAAGGAGGACCAGGATGGGGTAATTAGAAGTTTGAATTTATGCCTCATCATGCTTTATATGAACTAGATGCGACATAGTATACCCATCAAGGGAAAGACATGCCAAAGCAAGTGCGCTGATCTCAGCTGATGAAAACCAGTACCAATTGCCTAGGAGTATGAGCATATGTGTCCCCCCTTAGCATTGTGAAACAATAAGCTACAACGTACTGTATTGTGAATGCAGAGGTACAACGTATTGTGAAACATATTGCTAGAATAAGGGTGATGAAATTATATGTTCCATGCTGCATATTTTTATCCTCTGATGCGAAGGCGCCTTATGTGTATTTACGACGCATGACTCCAGAGAGTCACCCAAGCACCTTCCAGTTCACTTGGAAAAGTGATCATGTCAGCCACGTCATACTGCAGGCATCACAGCACAAGCGATAGATGCTATTCCATGTGGCACTCTCCCTTTCTAGGCTGGTCGGGAATGTCACTTTGCTGAGGTAGCGGGATGTCAGATGTCGCTATTAGACTGGCTGAAGGCGAATGTGGATTCCCACTTTCCACCAGTCAAGTATGCTCTAGATGCTGGCATGCACCTCCACGATGTAAGCGATCGGCCGAAGTTGCTGCCAGTTACTGCGACCTTCGCGAGTCTCGTGCTAGTTCCCGCCCGACGCCACTTCTTGTGGTTACCAGCTACCTCGATATTCTTGTGCTTGACGATCCCGCTAACCCGTTCGTCATTATCGAATTCCTCGCCATACCTCGAGAATCCTTTCGCCACTCCCATGCCTAGAAGCCTTGATTCCTTCACATGCTACCTCTTATGCTCCAAACACTGTCTTGCTAGCTCTTTATTTTCTGCTGTCCTCCTGGCTTGCTAGATCACCAGCGCCATTGCAACCAGCGATTGCTCCTAGAGCTTTCCACGCCTAGCTTTTCGGGAAAGCCTTTTCCGAATTAGCTTGCGGACAGGATTGCTTGACGAGCTAGTGTGCTGGGCGATTGGCTTTCCTTTTGCGACGAGATCTGTACTGTGCGATTTTCTCGCACAATCGCAAGGCGCTCGTCCAGTCATGGCGACCGCATGCGGCCTCTCGTCGTCGTCGTCTCTCCGCAGCGTGGCGTTTTCCGGCCTTCGACGTTTCAGCCGGGCGGCGAATGCCCCTCGTGTCGCGCGATTCCCGTCCTCTGCGTCTCGCGGCGTGGTTTGCGCTGCGCGGAGGCGGCGATCGCCGTCCAATTCGCGAGCCGCGGCTGAGGGCTCATCAGCGCTCGAAATAGCGGATCAGGTGGAGCAGCAAGCAGAGCAGGCCGAGCAGCAGGAGCAGCAGAATCAACTGGAGGAGGCACCGCAAGAGCAGGGGGAGCAAGGGCAGGCAGATGTTATTGTCGAGGCCGTCGCGAACGGGGGAGCGAATGTTTTTGCATCAGGTGCGCTCGTCACCTGGTAACACCGTTTTAATTTCGCCACTGAGTAGCACCGTTGTGATTTCGCGACCGATTATCACCGCAACAATTTCGCAACCTAGTTACGGCGCTTCGTTTTCGCGACGTAGTGTCACCGATTCGATCTCGCCCCTTAGTACCGCGGTTTCAATTTTGCCATCCATTAACACCAGTTTCGCAACCTAGTAACACCGAGTTAAATCAGAAATCGATAGCTTAGCTCGGGTTTCTTCGTAAGGAGTACCAATTATGTGAGATCCATCAGACTCCTCACCCATGTGCCTAGCAGGTAGCCGCTCGGAATTCCTACTGATCCAGTTGTCTGGTTACGACCATCAATCTTCAACTTAAACCTACAAATCCAGTTGTCGTTTTCCAGCCGTTCGTCAGTGCGAGACCTTTCATAAATTTACGGATCCTGTGATGAGAGTGAAGTTGACTGAATCAGTCGTAGTGCAAGTAACGAACGTTGCTTCTGTCGGGGATGGCCTGGCAGAGGGCGCTTTTCTTGATTCGCCTTATAAACTGTTCTATAATCAGGCTTACTGCGGAGACGAACTTTCATCTGCACCTCTTTCGATTCCCCTTAACTTTTGATCAACAAGCATGATTGTCTGTGTGCACCTGCTTATCTGTTTGCCATGGCCATGGCGTGGCAGAAGACATTCACATTCATCTGCACCTGCTTGATGACCCCTTTATAATGCGATAAACTAACGTGCATAGTGTGTGCGATTGCCTACTGTGTGTGATGGCCATGGAATGGCAGAGGACATGGACATTCATCTGCACCTGCTTCGTTTCCCCTTTATAACCTGATTCACTAACATGCCTACTGTTTGCGAATCCCATGTGTGGCAGAGGACATGGACATCCATCTGCACCTGCTGCAGAGCGACATGGAGGTGAGTGCGTCAAGCAGACATGCCCGCTATTCGGTGTAGTAAGGGTGTGTGGTGGTATGGAGCCAGAAATTATTGCGTTTGGAATCTTGGCGTTCGGCTTGGTTCACGTAAAGGCTCCCATTTAGACGTTATAAAATTCAGGTATTTTAAATCCTCTGTCAACCACGTCCGTCTGCCATTGCATGCTCACGCTCCTAAGCGTTCTCAAGATTCGTTGCTGATGGGCGGCTTGGCTTGGACTATTATGGGCTCCTCAGTAAGTTCACCGTTCACCGCCACTCCAAAAAAGTAAATGAGTGCCAATGCCACGTGTCTTCACACTCCTCCCTGATTGGTCCAGGTGGACGCGGTGGTGGCAGCGGACATGAAGGAGAACGGCTCACGCAGCACGCGGCGCACCAAGCTCATCTGCACCGTGGGGCCCGCCAGCTGCTCCTTCAAGCAGCTCGAGGCTCTGGCGTCTGGCGGGATGAACGTGGCTCGGCTCAACATGTGCCACGGCACGCACGAGTGGCACAGGTTGTTATGTTGTGCGGTTCGGTCTAAGGGTGTGTGAGGTGCTTAGTGCCACCGCGGTGAGCTCATCTGCACCATGGGGCCCGCCTCCTGCTCCTTCAAGCATCTCGAGGCCTTGGCGTCTGGCGGCATGAATGTGACCCCACTCAACATGTGCCACGGCACGCACGAGTGGCGCAGGTTAGTAATAGTGTGTGAGAGGTGTTTCGATCGATCCATTGCCATGAGCTGGGGCCTGCCTCCTTCCTTCCCTTCAACAAGTGCCCCCTCCCTTCAATCGTGCCCCTTCCACGCTTCCCACCCCCCCCCTTTCCCAACCCCCTTCCCCTCCCACTCTGCTTCCCCCCCTCGCCCCCCCTCCGGTTCCCCTCCCACTCTGATTCCCCCCCCTCTCCCCGCCCCTTTCCCCTCCTACTCTGCCCCCTCTCCCCCCCCCCTCTTTTCGTTGTCTTCTCCCCTTCATCTCATCAGGGGCGTGGTGGACAAGGTGCGCCGGCTGAACGCGGGGAAGGGCTATTCTCTCCCCCCCTCTCCCTCGTGCTCGGTTCCCAGCTCCCACTCTGCTGCTTCCGTCCTCCTCCCCCCCACAACCCCCCCCCCCCCCCCCCCCCCTCTCCCCCCTGAAAACAGGGACGTGGTGGAGAAGGTGCGGCGACTGAATGCAGAGAAGGGGTATTCGATCGCCATCATGATGGATACCGAGGGCAGCGAGATTCACCTGGGTGATTTACCCGGGGACTCATCCGTCAAGGCAGAGGTGAGCTGTGACGCGTAACAATAACGAAGGATGGTGGAGTGATGGTTACACGCGGCATCCTCTCCCTTCCCCCCCCCCCCCTCTCCCCTTCCCCCCCCCCCCCTCCCCGCACCCTCCCCCCATTCCCCCTTTCTCCGCCCCCCCGCCCGACTCACCAGCTCTGTCATGTCAACTTATACGTTTCTTATAGTCACATCACTTGTCCATTCTCAGTGCGCCATTTCCCCTGCCCTCCTCCTTCTGCCACACGCACCCTTACCGTCGTCCTGGTTCTCTCCCACTCTCCCTCTCCGCCTCTCTTTGAACCCCCCTCTTCCACCCCACAGGACGGCGACCTGTGGACGTTCACAGTGCGCCAGTTCCCCGGGCCACTCCCTCCTCAGACACCCCACTCGGCTGCCTTATTCCGTGCCTCGCTATCTCTCCTCCTTATCACACACCCTTGAGGACGGCGACCTGTGGACGTTCACAGTGCGCCAGTTCCCTGGGTCTGTCCGTTGACAGCCTCCCCTTATTCCCCCTGGCACCCTCCCCCGCCCCTCCCCTCCACCCCTCCCTCCTGGCGATCCCCCCACCCCGCGTCCCTCCACCCCACAGGACGGCGACCTGTGGACGTTCACAGTGCGCCAGTTCCCTGGGTCTGTCCGTTGACAGCCTCCCCTTATTCCCCCTGGCACCCTCCCCCGCCCCTCCCCTCCACCCCTCCCTCCTGGCGATCCCCCCACCCCGCGTCCCTCCACCCCACAGGACGGCGACCTGTGGACGTTCACATTGCGCCAGTTCCCTGGGTCTGTCCGTTGACAGCCTCCCCTTATTCCCCCTGGCACCCTCCCCCGCCCCTCCCCTCCACCCCTCCCTCCTGGCGATCCCCCCACCCCGCGTCCCTCCACCCCACAGGACGGCGACCTGTGGACGTTCACAGTGCGCCAGTTCCCTGGGTCTGTCCGTTGACAGCCTCCCCTTATTCCCCCTGGCACCCTCCCCCGCCCCTCCCCTCCACCCCTCCCTCCTGGCGATCCCCCCACCCCGCGTCCCTCCACCCCACAGGACGGCGACCTGTGGACGTTCACATTGCGCCAGTTCCCTGGGTCTGTCCGTTGACAGCCTCCCCTTATTCCCCCTGGCACCCTCCCCCGCCCCTCCCCTCCACCCCTCCCTCCTGGCGATCCCCCCACCCCGCGTCCCTCCACCCCACAGGACGGCGACCTGTGGACGTTCACAGTGCGCCAGTTCCCTGGGTCTGTCCGTTGACAGCCTCCCCTTATTCCCCCTGGCACCCTCCCCCGCCCCTCCCCTCCTCCCCTCCCTCCTGGCGATCCCCCCACCCCGCGTCCCTCCACCCCACAGGACGGCGACCTGTGGACGTTCACAGTGCGCCAGTTCCCTGGGTCTGTCCGTTGACAGCCTCCCCTTATTCCCCCTGGCACCCTCCCCCGCCCCTCCCCTCCTCCCCTCCCTCCTGGCGATCCCCCCACCCCGCGTCCCTCCACCCCACAGGACGGCGACCTGTGGACGTTCACAGTGCGCCAGTTCCCTGGGTCTGTCCGTTGACAGCCTCCCCTTATTCCCCCTGGCACCCTCCCCCGCCCCTCCCCTCCTCCCCTCCCTCCTGGCGATCCCCCCACCCCGCGTCCCTCCACCCCACAGGACGGCGACCTGTGGACGTTCACAGTGCGCCAGTTCCCTGGGTCTATCCGTTGACAGCCTCCCCTTATTCCCCCTGGCACCCTCCCCCGCCCCTCCCCTCCACCCCTCCCTCCTGGCGATCCCCCCACCCCGCGTCCCTCCACCCCACAGGACGGCGACCTGTGGACGTTCACATTGCGCCAGTTCCCTGGGTCTGTCCGTTGACAGCCTCCCCTTATTCCCCCTGGCACCCTCCCCCGCCCCTCCCCTCCACCCCTCCCTCCTGGCGATCCCCCCACCCCGCGTCCCTCCACCCCACAGGACGGCGACCTGTGGACGTTCACAGTGCGCCAGTTCCCTGGGTCTGTCCGTTGACAGCCTCCCCTTATTCCCCCTGGCACCCTCCCCCGCCCCTCCCCTCCTCCCCTCCCTCCTGGCGATCCCCCCACCCCGCGTCCCTCCACCCCACAGGACGGCGACCTGTGGACGTTCACAGTGCGCCAGTTCCCTGGGTCTATCCGTTGACAGCCTCCCCTTATTCCCCCTGGCACCCTCCCCCGCCCCTCCCCTCCACCCCTCCCTCCTGGCGATCCCCCCACCCCGCGTCCCTCCACCCCACAGGACGGCGACCTGTGGACGTTCACAGTGCGCCAGTTCCCCGGGCCGCTCCCGCCTCAGACAGTGCAGCTCAACTACGATGGATTCGTGGATGGTGAGAGCAAGGGGAGGGGGGGGGCAACGGGAAGGGGGGAAAGGGGGGGGGGGGAGGGGGGAGAGGGGGGGGGAGAAGGGGGAAGGATTCATCAAGGAGCCAAGCCAGCGCGGTCAGGGTCATCGATGTGACCGTGAGGCTCATCCACCCGGGGCTCATCCTGCCCTTTCTCTCCCCTCCTTCTCGCCCAACAGACATCACGGTGGGCGACGAGGTGGTGGCGGACGGGGGCATGGTGCGGTTCCAGGTGCTCAGGAAGATCGGCCCCGATGTGACCGTGCGGGTCATTGACCCGGGGCTCATCCTGCCGCGGGCCAACGTCACGTTCTTCCGCGACGGCAAGCTCGTGCGCGGCCGCAACTCCATGCTGCCCACCATCTCGTCTAAGGTCAGTGTCTTGCTCCCTCTGCTGCACCAAGGTCAGCCGGCGTTCCCCTAGGTGCTGCAGTGGCCTTTGAGTCAACCCAACGGCCATCCTGCCGCGTGCCGATGCCACTTTATTCCGCGACAGCAAGCTCGTGCGCGGCCGCAACTCCATGCTGCCCACCGTTTCGTCAAAGGTGCGTGCCGCGTGTTTCCATGCTGCCTGCTCTCTGCGCAGAGTGCTCGTAATGGACACTGCCCCTCACCATCGTCCACCCCATCTTCTCGCCTCCTCCTTGCCACTCCCACGCCCCCCACCTACTCTCACCAGGATGGGATTGGTTTTGCACATTGGCATCTCCATGGCCTCACCACGATTTCATCACCATCTCCTTTTGTCAAGTAACCCGCTGCCATATTTCTTTGTCAATTAACATCGCTAGATGACTGATATTTTCTTCACCCCCCCATGTTATCATCACCTCACCAGGATTTTGGCATCTCCATGGGCGTCGATTTCATCGCCATCTCGTTTGTTGATGGGTTGAGGTGCACAACACCCTGCCTCTTCCTCTCCCCCTTCTCCCCCTTATCCAACCACCACCTGCTCTCACCAGGATTGGATCGACGTTGACTTTGGCATCTCCATGGGCGTCGATTTCATCGCCATCTCGTTTGTCAAGTCACCTGACGTCATCACCCACCTGCGCAGTTACATCAACGCGCGCTCTCCCGACAGGTGGGAGGGTTGGAGTTCAAGGGTTCCTTTCCTGTGTCAAGGGTTCCTTTCCTGTGTCAAGGGTTCCTTTCCTGTGTCAAGGGTTCCTTTCCTGTGTCAAGGGTTCCTTTCCTGTGTCAAGGGTTCCTTTCCTGTGTCAAGGGTTCCTTTCCTGTGTCAAGGGTTCCTTTCCTGTGTCAAGGGTTCCTTTCCTGTGTCAAGGGTTCCTTTCCTGTGTCCCTCAGTTTGTTAGAGTGCCTTTGTCAAGTCGCCTGACGTCATCACCCATCTCCGCAGCTACATCAACGCGCGCTCGCCCAACAGCTGGGAGGGTGCAAACATACACTTGGAGACAAGTGTTTTGAGATCGTTTTGGAAAGAGCTATTTATATATGGTAAGGCCATGCATTCGCTCCTTTTCACTACCATCATGACAGCTCTCCTAACTCCCTACCCCACTCCCCCTTCCCCCCCCCCCCCTTCCTTTCCCCTCCCCTTCTGTTCCCCACCATCGGGCTCACCTGGAGATTGAGGTTTATGAGTCCATCGCTCACCTGGAGTCAACTCAAAGCCCTCCCTTGCGTTTCCCACGACTTCAACCCCTTTCCCCCACCCCCACAGGTACATCGGGCTCATCTCCAAGATCGAGAGCTGTGAGTCCATCGTTCGCCTGGAGGAGATCATAGCAGTCTCTGACGGCGCTATGGTGGCTCGTGGCGACCTGGGGGCGCAGATCCCCCTGGAAGAGGTACGTGTGTGTGTGGCTCGGGAGATAGGGGCAGCCTGAGGGTGTGTCGAGCCTGTCGCTCGTCTGGCGGAGATCATAGCCGTGTCGGACGGCGCCATGGTGGCCCGAGGGGACCTGTGGGCACAGATCCCACGGAAAAAGTAAGCAGTGAAGAAGTAAGCCGTATGAGGTGTTCATCGAGAGAAAGCGGCACAACAGAATGACTGGATTGTTGAGGTCGGGGGGGTAATAGGGGGATGGAACGGAACAGTAGGGAGGAAGTAGGGAACTGATTCTTTACTGTTTGCTTCTTTACTGCTTACTTCGTTACTGCTTACTTCTTTACTACTTACTTCTTTATGGCTTACTTTTTCCGTGGGATGTGTGCCCCCAAGCGCCGCAACACAATGACCGTATGAGGTGTTCTCCCGCCCCTCCCTATCCCCCTTAATCCAACCAGGTGCCATCAGTCCAGTCGGACATAGTGCAGATCTGCAGTGACCTCAACAAGCCCTTCATTGTGACACAGTCATTGTGACACACAGTCATTGTGACACACTTTCTTCACTCGTTTTCACTTTCGAGGGCTTCAAACCTTCCCTTTCCCCCTCCCATCCCCCTGTTACCCCCCAGGTGCCGTCAGTCCAGCAGGACATAGTGCAGATCTGCCGCGATCTCAACAAGCCCGTCATTGTGGCGTCGCAGCTGCTCGAGTCCATGATCGAGTTCCCCACGCCTACTCGCGCAGAGGTATGTGAGGGGTACACACCAGGGCTTATGTTTGGTTTTTGAGCAGCTCTGGCGTTACGGGTACACACACGGATGTATGGTGATGGCGTGTGACCAACAGGGCCCTAGCAGCGCCCGTCAGTGCGGTGTCGCAGCTGCTCGAGTCGATGACTGAGTTCCCCACGCCCACGCGTGCTGAGGTGAGCGAGGGATGCGGGTGATGGATGGGTATAGTGGTTAAGTAGGATGTCGTGGCATGGGTCATTGTGGTGCCGCAGCTCCTGGAGTCAATGATTGAGATCTACGCATACCCGTGCTGAGGTGATGGAGGGAGAGAAAGGGCATGAGGTTGGTGGATGATGTTACCGGGTAACCAGGCTGACAGCCGGGTGGGTCATTGTGGCGCCGCAGCTCATGGAGTCAATGATTGAGATCCCCACGCCCACCCGCGCCGAGGTGAGAAGACGAGGTGAGAAGACGAGGTGAGAAGACGAGGTGAGAAGACGAGGTGAGAAGACGAGGTGAGTAAGACGAGGTGAGTAAGACGAGGTGAGGAAGACGAGGTGAGTAAGACGAGGTGAGTAAGACGAGGTGAGAAAGACGAGGTGAGTAAGACGAGGTGAGTAAGACGAGGTGAGTAAGACGAGGTGAGTAAGACGAGGTGAGTAAGACGAGGTGAGTAAGACGAGGTGAGTAAGACGAGGTGAGTAAGACGAGGTGAGTAAGACGAGGTGAGTAAGACGAGTTGAGTAAGACGAGGTGAGTAAGACGAGGTGAGTAAGACGAGGTGAGTAAGACGAGTTGAGTAAGACGAGGTGAGTAAGAAAGACGAGGCGAGTAAGACGAGGTGAGTAAGAAAGATGAGGCGAGTAAGACGAGATGAGTAAGGCGAGAAATATGGACAGGTGCTTTGGTGATGGAGCTCCCAACCCCTACTGGTGCTGTGGTGAGTGTGGGCTACGTTGCGTGCTGAGGTAACTCATAGCAGGGCTGGTCATTGGGGCATGGCAGCCGGTTGAGGTTCCCCACCCCTAGTCTCTCGCACTGAGATGCTCGGGGCCATGATGAGGTGAGGCCATGATGAGGTGAGGCCATGATGAGGTGAGGCCATGATGAGGTGAGGCCATGATGTTATCCGGGCCGGGGAGCATGAGTGATGGCAACCCCTGCTCATCGCACAGTGGCGATCAGGGAATCGGGGTGTGGGCAGGTGGTGCATAGCGAAGAGCAGGACACGATCACTCTTTCCCATCCCTTCCGTCCGTCTCCTTCTGTTTCCTTCCCATCAGACATGATAAAAAAAACGATGAGATATCATATCGCATTGCCTTTTTTTTTTTAAAAACCGCTGTAACTGTGATGCGATATAATATCGCATCGCACGATATTATTTTTCTTATTTCCAGTTTCGCGTTTCGCAAATAGGGCGCGATATTAGAACATATCGCATTTGCCCCTGGAGATATCGCGCGATGAGATATAATATCGCATCGCATTTTACAGACTGAAATGAAAGGGTTTACGGAGGACAAAAAAAAGGGCAGCCCTGCAATCACCCAGGTGGCCACAGAGAAAGAGAGTTCTGATGGCACACTAGATCATATGCGATATTTTTTATATCTCATGTCGCATAATTATCGCAAGTAGCGGTTGTGATAGAAATGCGATTAAAATATATAGCACTATGCAAATCACATCGCACCGCGCGACATCAATCGCGATGCAATTTTTGCAATGCGATGCGATGCGATATGATCATATCTACTTCCGATTGCTCCAGCTGGCCGATACTGCAGTGGGGATAAGGCAGAGAAGGCAGACACCCCCATGCTGTCCGGCGAGTCGACCATTGGGCAGTTCCCTGACCAAGGCTCTCGCTGTTCTGCGGACATGGCCACGCGGTTAGAGGGGGTCAGTCAGCCATTCACCTTCCTTTCTCTCCCCTTTGACCCGCTCTCTTTTCCAGGTGGCCGACACAGCAGAGGTGGTGAGGCAGAGGGCAGACGCCCTCATACTCTCTGGCGAGTCGGCTATTGGGCAGTTCCCTGAGAAGGCTCTGGCTGTGCTGCTCACCGTGGCGACCTGGATAGAGAGGGATTCAGCCTTTCTCTTACCCTCCCCATGGTGCTTCTTCCTGCAGGTGGCGGACACGGCAGAGGCTGTGAGGCAACGCGCAGACGCCCTCATGCTCTCTGGAGAATCAGCCATCGGGCAGTTCCCTGAGAAGGCTCTGGCTGTGCTGCGCACGGTGGCCACGAGGATAGAGGGGTTCAGCCGGGCGGAGCGCAGTAGGGAGCAGGAGGCAGACATTGCCCTGCTGCCAGAGCTGTCTGACGTGTTGTCTGAAAGGATATCAGAGCAGATCTGCGCCTCTGCTGCACACATGGGTGAGTGGTGTGGTACTGCGGTATATAAGCGTACACATGCAACCATGCATGCCACGAGCGTAGAAACGGGCAGCAGGGAGCAGGAGGCAGACATTGCCCTGCTGCCAGAGCTGTCTGAGAGGATATCAGAGCAGATCTATGCGTCTGCTGCACACATGGGTGAGTGGTTGGAGCAAGTGCGTGTTGACCCATGAATGGACCCGGGCATGGCTCCATGCACTCGCACCGTGTACTCATTGAAAGTTACCCCGACTGAAAGCCACCCCGACTGAAAGTGACCCCGACTGAAAGTCACCCCGACTGAAAGTGACCCCGACTGAAAGTGACCCCGACTGAAAGTCACCTTGACTGAAAATTACCCCGACTGAAAGTTACCCTGACTGGAAGGGACCCCGATGGAAAGTCACCCCGACGGAAAGTCACCTTGACTGAAAGTAAACCCGACTGAAAGTCACCTTGACTGAGACGCAATCAGGGATCCAGCTTTATCGCATGCATGCCTGGTTCCCTCCCTCTCCCGCATGCATCCAGCTTTATCGCGCTCTCCCGCCTAGCTGCATGCCGTGGCTATACGGCCGCTCTGCTCTGCTCTCCCTCAGGCCTGTCTCTCCCCTCCCCCTTCCTTTCTCCTCCTCACTCAATCCCCTCTCCCTCCTCCCCTCCCCACCTCCCCATTCAGCCGCCAAGCTCCAGGTGGACGCCATATTCGTCTTCACCCACCGTGGGTACATGGCCTCGCTGCTCTCGCGCTGCCGCCCCGACTGCCCCATCTTCGCCTTCACTTCCTCCCAGGTAACCAATGCCGCCAATCACATCCTTCCAGGCCTGTCAAACCTCGTTTTATTATTATTATTATTATTATTATTATTATTATTATTATTATTATTATTATTATTATTATTATTATTATTATTATTATTATTATTATTATTATTATTATTATTATTATTAATTAATTAATTAATTTATTTGCAGTTCAGTCTTATCATCCACTGCCTGCTGCTTCCTGCTCTTGCGTTCCTCTCTGGTCTCTTGCCCAATGCCTTTCTTTTTGTCATTCTCAAGTTTCTGCTTTTCCTCCTCACGGCTCAGCATGGCCTCGTTTTCCTTTGTCTATATGTTATGTCCCACTTCTTCTTTGTTTCCCCATCTGCTCGCCTTTCCCACCCAACTCCCCTCACCCCCCCTTCCATCCTGTTCTTCTGTGCTTCCCAACAGAGCGTGCGTGCGGCAGCAGCTGAACCTGTCACGGGCCTTATTTCTTCACTTACACCTTCTCTCTCCTCTAAACCCCCCCTTGGTCAACAGGGCGTGCGGCAGCAGCTGAACCTGTCATGGGGCCTCATTCCTTTCCGCCTGGACTTCTCAGATGACATGGAGTCCAACATCCTGCGCACATTCAACCTCCTCAAGGTGGGAGTGCAGCGTGGCGATTTTGGCATGGGTTGAGTTTGTGCCGTGTGTGGCTTTAACTTTGGGGCCACTCAGATGACATGGAGTCCAACATCCTGCGCACATTCAACCTCAAGGTGGGAGTGCAGCGTGTCGTTTTTGGCATGGGTTGAGTTTGTGCCGTGTGTGGCTTCAACGTTGGGGCCACTCAGATGACATGGAGTCCAACATCCTGCGCACATTCAATCTTCTCAAGGTAACTAAAACCACAGCACAGTTCTTCTGCAAAAATCAGGGACAAAGTTTAAAAATCCCACTTTCAATTGTTCAGGTGGATCCTTTGAAGCCCTTGGTTTGGTCTCAACGCTCGCCGTTTGGGTTTCAGCCCCTGCAATTCCTAAACTGGCACAGCTTCTTTTGTTGTACCCCGTCGGCTCACTTCTTCCCATGTGTGCGACATCCCATGCATGCAGGCGCGTGGCATGATGAAATCGGGAGATCTGGTTATCACAGTCACGGACATCATTGGCAGCGATAGCTCCTTCGACGGAGGCTTGCAGTCCATGCAGATCCGAAATGTACCCTGAATATAGTGCCATGTGTTAGTAAGATGTTCGTGCCTCCTGGGCTCTTATGCTCCCAGATTAGAAATGGTATGAAAGTCACATTCATAGCAGTGCAGTGCAGTCGTCATAGCATATCATAGCTCCATAGTACAGCACACTAGATAGGGCAAATACATGGCAAGGGAACAAGGGTGAGCAGGCCATGCTAGTTATCAAAGCATGGGAGGGAAGGGTGGGCAAGTTGGAACAGAAAAATGCAAATGAGACTAGGTGGCAGGTCTGAAAGACCTGCCGATAGATGAAGGAGTTTGTCTCCTTTACAGCAAACTCCTCTTCTAGTCGAATCACAATCTGTAAATTTTTTACTACAAAAAAATTTCTCATATTGTGACACGACCTCAGAGGAGTGTGCAGTGCAGTCGTCATAGGTCAAACGAGACATCAAGTGGTAGGTCGTCGGCGGTGGCGCTCGAGGGTGGCCTGGTATTGATCGGTCGCGCTCGAGCGAGTAGGATCTTGTAGCGCGCGAGAAGCAGCCACTAGCTCGCGGTCAAGCTGAGTAATGTAAAGCTCCTTGGCTGTATCACTTCGCCAGCGACCTAGGGCCTTGAAAAGCCGGTCGGGGACTCCAATATCAACGGCGACCGTCGCAGCCGCCTTGCGGAAAGAATGGGTGTCCAGGAGGGCCGGGTTAAGGCCTACACGGGAGAAAGCATCTCGACACCAACCCCGAATGGCGGCGTACGAGGGAGAGCGATCTGAGGGGGAAGCTCGGGCACCCGGCTGAAATATACGAATAAGGGGGCCAAGGGTCCGCGGAGAATAGCCAGCCAGGAAGAGGAATTGTTGGACACGCGACACCGGACAGTGGCGGGCAGAAGAAGCAGCCACTGGGACCCAAACACCGGTGCCAGCTTGGTCGGTCTTCGAACGAGGGATGAACAACCACATGCAGTCCCGATCGAACTCGATCTGGTGCCACTGGAGGGAGACGAGATCAGAGAAACGAAGGAAGGCTGCGAACATGAGGAGGGGAATAAGGCCCCGCTGGAATGTGGCCGGATCATGCGATGAGAAGTAGATGTCACAGATATCGTAAATCTTGGCTGGAGGAATGGGCTCCTTAGCTTGAGGTGGCTTGCCACAATGACGCATGGCATAATCCTTGACTTGCGAAGAAAAGGGGCCGCGAATCGGGGAGGGGTGGCCAACCAGCCAATGGGCGCAGGATATGGCGGAACACGCAGTGCGCACAGCTGAGACAGTAGCGCCGCGACGGACCGAGTGCAGCAGAAAGAGGGACGCTGTCAGGTCGGTGGCGGGAAGGAAGGGAAGTGAGTGCGCCAAACAGAAGGCTCGAAACTGTCGCCAGTAGGGTTCGTAAGTGCGAAGGGTAGACTTCGCCCGAAGATCAACGGTGAGTGTGAGAAGGTCCGACAATAATCGACCAATATATGAGCCTGCGCAGTGAAATAAATTGATACATTAGTTGAATGCAAAACGAAGCGCATACATCGGAGAGTTCGGAAGACCAGCACCGCTAAAGGCATGACGGTCACTGCCAACGCGTAAACAACTAGCACCAAGGGTAAGGCGAAGGGCCATAACGACCTCCGGGCCCCAAGTGGAGCCGTCCAAGCTTAGCAAAGGCCACCAAAAGGCACTGGGCCAATATGGGATCACGAGAGTGAGAGAAGTGCGCGAGCGACGGGCATGAGCTAGGACAGCCGGGATGAGGGTGGGTGGAGGAAAGGCGAAGCAATTCTCGTGGCCCCAATTGATAGAAAAAGCGTCTTGCGCAACCGCAGAGTGTGAGAACTCGAGGGAGCAGAAACGAGCGAGCTGCGCATTGGCAGGGGATGCGAACAAGTCGATAGTATGAGGCCCCCAATGCCTCTCAAGCAGCCGGAACCAAGGTCGTGTCAAGGAGTAGTCGTCGTGGAGCTCAATCTTGGACAGAGCGTCAGCCTCGGTATTCAGCGCACGGGGAATCCATTGGACCGTAAGACGGATCATATGGCGCACGCACAATTGAATAATCGCGCGGCATACGAAGGTAAGCTCGGGACGGCGAGAGCCTCCCTTCTGGAGGATGTAGTAGGCCGCCTGACTGTCGCTGCGGAGCAAGATGTGCGAACGTCGGATTTCGACAGAAAAGGCCGAAAGGGACCAAAAGATTCCGGCCAGCTCGCGAAGGGTACTGGACGAGCCCAAGAGGGCTAGAGGCAGCGGGGAGGAGAGCGAGCCGACACGACCATCCGGCGCTGAATAACAAGCCCCCCAAGCATGGTCGCTAGCATCCACGTACATGACCACGTCGTACAAATGCGGGTTGTGGAAGCGGGCGCCGTTGAAAACGTCGAACTGTGTAAGCCAAAATCGCAGTTCTTCAACAGACTCAGGGGTGAGGAGAATGGCCGCCCCCCATGAGTGGCATTCGGCGATCTGCGTAAGAAGGTGGTGGGAGAAAGCGCGCGCGACAGTGCCAAGCGCCAAGGACATGGAGGCCAACATGCCGGTGATGCGGGCAGCGCGGCGAACAGGGATGCGACGCCCGTTAGTGCCGAGTGTGCCTAATTCATCCAGCTCGGCAAAAAGCCGGTTGCGCCGATCCGCATCGACCGAGAAAGTGGTGGTGCGCGTGTCCAGCAAGAGGCCCAAGAACTTCAAAGATTGTGGCGGTGCGAGTTGTGATTTTTTGAAATTCACAACAAAGCCCGCGGCTGCGAGGTCGGCAATGATTATGGAGCGGTTGTGAAGAGCCTCCGCTCGAGTGGCACTGATGAATAGGATATCATCGACGTATGGAATAAGGCGGATGCCACGGCTACGCCAGCGTTTGGCGAGTTGCTTAATTAACTGGGTAAACACAAACGGCGCTGTAGCCAGCCCGAAAGGCAAAGAGAGGAATTGGTAGTCCTGCCCTTGCAAGGAGAATCCGAGAAACTGCCAGAAAGCGGGGTGAATGTCGACGTGGTGGTATCCAGATTTGAGATCGATCGTGAATAGCCAATCGCCTTCTTGCACCAAATCAGGAACGCGAGTAAGTCCTTCGTATCGAAAACGAGGTACTGAGAGGAATGAGTTGACATGCCGCAAATCCAGTATCAGTCTCTTTTTTGAGGGTTGGACAATCACGTTTAAGGGGCTAACGCATGTGAGGGTTGTGGAAGGAGGAACGACCCGAGCTGCGCCGGTGGCGAGAAGCTCGGCCACTGCGCCTACGGCGAAAGAGGTGAATTGCAAAGCACCGGCATGGTTCTTAGTACGAGACGGAGGGGGCTCAGAGGCAACCCATGGTAGGCGATATCCAGATGTAATCACCGATAGAATCAAGCGGCTGTCGCACCAGGCGGACCACCATGCAGCGCGGTCACGGAGGCGGCCTTGCATGCGGGTAATCTTGGTTGCGTCATCGGCATAGGCCGAAATGGTTCCGAGCTCTGGTAGGAGAGGGAACACAAATAGGGACGGTAGAGAATCAGGAAGGTACCTCATGTAGTTCCGAACGCAACGAATTTTTTTTTTATTTTTTTTTTGGAAGGAAGGCAAACGCTAGATATAGGTGCCCGCTTGCTCGCTATTATTCGGCCACGTCATCCCTTAAGTGATAAACTATGGGTTGGGAATGTGAACTTGGCATTTTGGGCTGTAGTTGGTCGTCATATATTCCTTGTCGTGAACCAAAAAGTGTTTCGGGAAATGTTGCCAAAGCATTTGCCAAGTGTTCTAATCTTAGTCCGCCAGGAGTGTTCACCCACATGTTCGCAAAACGTTTGCAAAGCATTTGCGCAAATGCTACGCAATCGTTTTGCGAGCATACGGTTTTTTTTTTTTTTTTTTTGCGATGGACATAGAAATCTTGTGATGAATCTTATCAACGTCAGTCTTTAAAGGACGCACACACATTGTGTATGCGTCTTGTGGGCACGCTCACGTCTTCTTGCACGGGCCCAACGTGCAAGACCATGTGGCCGTATGACGCGCGTATTAATCTTGCTTGAATGCACAAATGTGCGTGTGTGTTTTTTTTTTTTTTTTTTTTAATTAAGAACGCTACAACATCGGAGAGGTTAAGCAAACTTTACACAATCTTAGCTGGCCGATTGGCCCCTTGGCCCCTTTGGGGGCAATTAGCCATCCCATGCCCGGGTTCACGGCAATAGAAACAACGGCCGTCGCCGTCCCTACGCCATGTGTTCCAAAGGCGCTCCCCTTGGCCGCGAGGGCGAAGAGGGGGTTCAGGACGGGAGGTGGGATGGGTGGGCCGAGTCGGCCTCTTCTTGCTGGCCGCTACAATCTGAGAAGCGGCCTTCACATTCTTATCCTCTACCACTTCCCCATACTTAATCTTAAGGGCCATATTGGCCACTTCGAAACCGCGTTGATCGGCGGTAAACAAAAAATGAATCTTCTCTTCCGCCTCCTCTACTATCTGCTGGAGATAGTCGGCGGCTTGTTCTCCACCGTCAAGTGGTAAAACCGAGATAGCATGACGTGCAATAGCTTGAATGCGCTCAAAACTAAAAAGTTGCGTACGAATTCCATCGCTTTTAACTAAGGAAGAGCGCAACTGAGGACGTGCAGGTGGAATAGGAGCGAGGGTGAGCGATGCAGAAGCGGATTTCGGGCGGGCGGCATTACCTTCGTCGAGCGTGGCATGGGGTGCTTCCTCGTCCATTTCGTCGTCAACGGGCTCGGGGGCGGGCGCCGGGAGGCGAGAGCGTGGGGCCACCGTCGCTGCGACGCGTGCTGGTTCCGGTGGCGGTGCAGGATCGGCGCCATTGCCACGCTGGAGCGCCGCGAGAAGACCAAGAACGTGGTGAATGGCCTCGTTGTTGGTGCCGGCGTTAACATTGTTGTCGGTGTAGCGAGCAGAATTATGTTCTGCAGAATGAGGCGCTGTAGATGCAGTGGAGCGTGCTGTAACGCGTTCGCCAGCAGCTCCTGTGAAGATTCGCTGGAGATTGCGCTGGGCTGCAGGATCCAGGCGCGCAATCATTTCGGCGATTTCTGCTGCTCCAGGGGTTGAGATCTGCGGAATCCCGCGCGGATTCACTGCGGCAGGAGCAAAATCTGTGCGGCGATCTGCGCGATCCCGGTCCCGATCCTGGCGATCCTGGCGAATCTGGGGCGCTGGGGCGTTGAGATCGCGCTCATGATGACGCCCTGCGCGCGCAGTATCACGATCATGATTGTGGTCCTCGCGCGCAGGACCGTCATGATTGCGTTCGGTAGGTGGGGGCCGGGAGGGGGCGTTTTCGGCAGTCGGGTTCGTGTCGACGCGGTTCTGCTCGTTACGCCGCTCGCCTTGAAATCCGGGGGGGAAATCGCGATTGCGTGACGTGTTACGATCCGCGTCCCCTGCCGTGTTTTCGACGTGCTGAACAGGGTCTTGACGCGCGCCACTCAGCAAATCCAAAGCGGTAACTGCGCCGTTACCTCCGCCAGGACGAGGAGAACGAGATCGTTCTCTATGCTGAGATGAAGAGTTTCGGTCCCCCTCACGTACAGGGGACCCACGCCTTCCACCACTCCTAGTATTCACACGAGGAGCAGGAGGCCTACCACTTGCAGCGGAAATGAGTCCGCTAACCATTGTAGAGTATCTAACAGAAATAACGTCTTGCAGCAAGAGACTTCTATGCCCAGATCTGGGCATAGAGGTTTAGAGTGTGCTGGTGGTATACAAGTTGGAACAGAAAAATGCAAATGAGACTAGGTGGCAGGTCTGAAAGACCTGCCGATAGATGAAGGAGTTTGTCTCCTTTACAGCAAACTCCTCTTCTAGTCGAATCACAATCTGTAAATTTTTTACTACAAAAAAAATTTCTCATATTTCATCATGCCACGCGCCTGCATGCATGGGATGTCGCACACATGGGAAGAAGTGAGCCGACGGGGTACAACAAAAGAAGCTGTGCCAGTTTAGGAATTGCAGGGGCTGAAACCCAAACGGCGAGCGTTGAGACCAAACCAAGGGCTTCAAAGGATCCACCTGAACAATTGAAAGTGGGATTTTTAAACTTTGTCCCTGATTTTTGCAGAAGAACTGTGCTGTGGTTTTAGTTACCTTGAGAAGATTGAATGTGCGCAGGATGACTGCACTGCACACTCCTCTGAGGTCGTGTCACAATCGGGAGATCTGGTTATCACAGTCACGGACATCATTGGCAGCGATAGCTCCTTCGACGGAGGCTTGCAGTCCATGCAGATCCGAAATGTACCCTGAATATAGTGCCATGTGTTAGTAAGATGTTCGTGCCTCCTGGGCTCTTATGCTCCCAGATTAGAAATGGTATGAAAGTCTGGCGTAGGTGATCATGGATTGGCTGAGAATTATTGTTTACCTTGGGATACAACATCATGAGAAGTAAAATATTGCGTGCAATATTTTTTGGGAAATACTCCCTGGCTGTAATCTACATATTTTACTGGAAAGTGCTGTAGCGATGCCCTCGTCACAGCAAATGTGGTACCACGTGTCGTCTGTGATAGCAGGCATCCTCATCCCAAGTGCTGACGAAATTTGGCATCCTGATCCCTGGAGCTGACAGAAAATGACGTGGCTGCAAAATCTGCTGCCGAAACGGCGCAGGCGCCCGTGACGCTCGGACTTCCAGACACGTGCCACGTGACAGAGGAAGCTCTTGTTTGACCGCCACATTCGCAGGCGTGGCGTCATCCAAAGGGAATGGCGCTCTTTGCTGGGCTGTGGTCCCCAGCGGATCTTTCTATGTGCACTTTTCATGGGATCCGTCCAGAAGATCACGAAGTGCCTGCTCGATCCAAGACCAATTCATGGAGATTGTCTTGCCGCTGCCCTGCCGACATTCCTCCGAATTCTATAGACTTCGGGCAGACCGCAAGCCTCGATGTTGCCTCGTGGTTGGTTGTGCGAGCAGACGTCCATCTTCATCTACCTTCGGTCGAATCGTATCGTGAAGTTGGTTGTTGGGTTTCGCACTTCTGGCTGCCCTGCCGCAATATTTCAACGCCCTCGCATTTGAATCAGATACTGTACCCTGCCCGACGCGTCTCGGCTTGGCAGGGATGCAGGGAATGGCAGGTGATGGGTGGAGGTGGATGGATGGATACAGTACACGGGGCAGCAAGGTTGGGGGACTGAGGCCTGGCGCGCAGCAGGAGGGGAGGGAGGGACATTGTCCAACTATCTGTGGCCGTGACGAAGCAGTGACCATCACGAGGCATCTCGGGAGGCCGTCGCGTGTTCGCGAAGGGTGTTGAAGCGTCGCGAAAGTTTGCGAGCGGGGAAAGCAGCAGTTTCGTTCGAGGCGCCCAGAAGCTGTGCCCTTGGGATTGCTTCGACTGGTTGTTGGAAGAGAGCCGAAAGAAGCAAGGGGCGAGAGAAATAAAGCGGGGTGGGAAACGAGAAGTATCATTTGAAAAGCAGAGTTCAGCATTATCATTTGCACGTAGTTACCTCCCTTCCTCTCTCACCCTCTCTCATTTGCTCCGTATCTTCTTCGCTCCTAAAGCCAGATTTGCGGTCTTCCTTTGACGTTTTGGACACCTTGCTCTAGACTGACTTTCCAGGCGACTATGGCCAGCCCAGCTTCCAAGATTGTTGCCAGCATAACTGGAGCTGCTGCCGGACTGCTGGCTTCTTATGGCTATCAAGGGACCAATCAGGTACAATTCGCCCCGGACTCTTGCCGCCGCGTTTTATCCCTGGACCTCTTTTTTTTTCCATCGTCGCACCTCCAGTTTCTCGTACGTGGAGTCATCGTGACAATATCATCGATTTCTCGCCATGAAATTCGTGTGTGCAGACGAAGGTCTCCAATTGCCAAGCCGTCGCGACGTCCGCCGACGGCAATCGATCGTCGGCCCCGCAGAAGCCCGCGGCTCCCATCCGGTGCGCCATCGAGCTCGACGGACTCGAGCTTTTCGAGACCCTCGCCCGGTGATTATGACTACTAGTAGCGTCTGGGAGGCTATGGGACGCACGCTCAGTGATAACTACTGCTAGCAGCATCTGGGAGTCGTTGATCTTTACCAGAGGAAGCGGAGTGATTTCTTTTCCTAGTTGGACGACAGCGGGAGGGAGCTTTAGAGAAGAGCGGATAAGATGGGTGGACCACGAAGAGCGCATTCGCTTCGGGTGTTGCACGTGAGATTTGCCCAAAGGCGGAGATGAGACAGGCGTGGAAGTACATACACGAGGAGTTCCAATGATGAGCTCGGAACGAGCTGCTCATACATGGCCATACAACGTGTTGCTCTTCAGTCGGACCTGGTTCTGCTTCCACAGTGGCCCTGGTCTTCAATTTTGTAGTTAGGTCGTCCCATATGTCTTTTCATTATTGGTAAATCTCATTTTTCTGTATTCTTATCTGATACAACGTTCGTTTTCTAATGAAGAGTTTCTTGCAATAACGAATCACGTTCATAGCGAAATTACGCTGTCCACGACATCCTTGGTGGTACAGCGGGTATTGTTAAAATTATATAAGTTATAATTTTATATAGGCTTGGTAGGTTGCTACTGAACCTTTCTGTAGGGGGTACAAACCCCTCCTTGTACTCCCTTCTCTTCCTAATCCAACTCTCTTTCTTCTCGACTTTTCTCCTACTCCTAGATCCGTTTTTCCTAGCGCCGTTCCATGGCGGCCTTGCTTCTATCCTAGCTAAGCTAGTGTCCTAACTTTAGGGACTTAGCATCCTAAGTTCTTAACATGGTATCAGAGCAAGAGATCCTTCCTGCTGGACTGCCTCCTCTCGCTTCCGCCATTTACTCCTCACCCTCATTCACTCCAGCGGCCATGGCGGTCGCGTTTTGCTGCAGTGGCGACGTCGCGCTGCCACTGGGCGCGTCGTGCCGCGACCGGCCCGACGCGCTGCCGCGGAGTCGGGCCGTCGTTCTGCAGTCGCAGCGTCAACGCCCCGCTGCGGCATCGACGCTGCCATGGCGGCCGCGGCGGCGTCACGCTGTGGCGTCGTCGTCTTTTTGCCGGCTGCGCCGTCCTGCCGCGGCCGTCTCGTAACGCGACCGGGACGACGTCAGCGCGCTGCCGCGGCTGCGCCCCTCCTGGGCCTCGTCGCGCCCTGCCTGGCCCCGTCGCCCTCTGCCCGGCCCCGTCGCCCCCTGCCAGGACGCCGTCGTCCCGCCTGTAAGCGCCGCGCCATTTATGGCGCGACGCTGAAGACTCGCCCCGCCCCCATTCTCCCTTCCTCCTGTCGCAGCTGCTGTCTTCTGCCCGGACGTTGCCACATCGCCGAGAGCCCTCAGCCGCGGCAGTCGCCGCCTGTCGTCGGCGACCCAGCCGCCTTGAGCCAGAGCTCCGCGGCTGCTTGTCGCTGACCCGCCTAGACGCCGTCGGCTGCCTCGTGTACGGGGGTGTGTCAACGCTTTGCCTGAGGGTCAGATACCCGGCTAAGCACGAGCCTGAGGGTGTGCGGGGTTAGGGGGTGGGTTGGGTGTGGGTGTGGGGGTGTGAGTGGGCTTGACACTACCAAGCCTAGGGGGTGTGTTAAAATTATATAAGTTATAATTTTATATAGGCTTGGTAGGTTGCTACTGAACCTTTCTGTAGGGGGTACAAACCCCTCCTTGTACTCCCTTCTCTTCCTAATCCAACTCTCTTTCTTCTCGACTTTTCTCCTACTCCTAGATCCGTTTTTCCTAGCGCCGTTCCATGGCGGCCTTGCTCCTATCCTAGCTAAGCTAGTGTCCTAACTTTAGGGACCTAGCATCCTAAGTTCTTAACAGGTATGCCATTAGGTCCGTGACATTTAACTCCATATAATACTCCAAGGTCCGGAATTTGATAAGATCCACCACGATGTACTCCGTCTGTACGGTATACATCTACTGTTAGAGTTCGCTAAAAAGGCGCAATAAAACATAGTGACCAATCACGACCGTGTGACCAATCTCGCATGCAAGCGTCGCCAACCAACCCACGAGTGCTAGCTCGGAAATTCCCCGTGAATTGTGCTTGGAATTGCCCAGCCAATACGCGCTTGCCAGCCAGGGCGATCCGACGTAATCACGACAGACAGGGGGGGCGAACACAAAATCACAGACAGCCCGCTTGTACCCCCGTCCACCTGGCACTTTTGCATGCGCGCTGACATGGGCATGAATCCGTACCCCCTTTTCATCCATTCTGTCTTATTATTACGGTCCTATTCTATCTTAGAATTAGGACACTAGCTTTGTTGTAAATATCTCGAGGACTTCAGCGTTTCTGAAGTGTAACACTACACTTGAGGAAGATTGTAACGGGTACACGAGTCAATGGAGGTTACACGAGGGGATGGACAAAGAACACGAAAGGACTCGAAGGGTCGCAATCGGAGGTTGCGAGTGACCGTTACAACTGCAAGGATGGTAACCGAAGCGACAATCGAGTCGCTGTGCGACTCGATAACCGCTCTTCAACTGTATTCTACAACTACTTTACTTTCCTACTTTCTATATATTGCTGTATGCTTGTTCTCTTAATCAATCGCTTGTTCTCACATACTAGTACAAGGGTTCAACTACTCAACTTCCGCAGCATTACTCAAAGTCTCTTTTTTACAACTGGGACTTAGTCTCTGGAAAGATCCTAACGGCATTTTTCTCAGCCGAACATGGTATGAGAGCTGGTCAGAGACCTTACTCCCAGCAACTACGCTCCATCTACAATAAGCGCACCAACGACTTCATTGATTACAAGTCATGGACAGCAAAGGCAAGAAAACCTCTACGGGCTCACCCAGTGCCCACGACACTCAACCCGGTAACTCTGGACTGCACACTTTAGGACTGCAAACCGAGACCGGCGCTGCTCAAGAAACAACAGGAAGAGCACCAGAAATGGTGACCCCATCACCCTCTTCAAGCGTGGACCCGAACCTTATGGAAAGGTTCTTCAGCTTCATGTCACACTTCGACCAGCAGCAGCAGACAAGGACACCTGCGCATTCAACACAGAGCAACGGAGGAAACATGGGATTAGCGCCGATGAGCCTCGACAACTCATCGTTCGGGCGACACAATCAAGCGCCTACCTTTGCGCCTTATCACTCTTCACCGGGGACGTTCGAGTTCATGCCGCCCCGTGCCCAACCAACAGCAGCTGCATCACAACAGACACCAAACGAGATACTGAGTCTCCAGGCGCAGTTTTCACACGTGATCAAACTGCAGACATCCTCACCGTTCAACGGGCACGATTTCTTTACCTGGAGCTTTGAGTTCGAGCTGCTGATGGAGGCTGCGCACCTCTTGGGATACTTCAACGGGTCCCTGCCATTTCCAAGCAATGGCACTGCAAAGGAGTAAGAAATATTTACTTATCAGTCGCTGCTGGCGTACACAGTTCTCCTGCGGAACATGTCACCACAAGAACAGCAAAGCATCAGAACGTATCGGAGCTATGGAAACTCCGCGGAACTCGCGTGGCATCATCTCAAGTGTCTCTATCAAGCAAACGACAGCGTGACACAAAGCAGACTCATGCAACAGCTGACAACAATCCAGATGAAGACCGGAGAAAAGGCGATGCAGTATATGAGTCCCTGCCAAACACTCCGCGACCGCCTGCTTCGGTGCGGAGGAACAATCACTGAAGAAAGCTTCGTGACGCTTGTCCTCGCTGGGCTCGGGCCAGAATGGAGAACCACCCGCTCGCTTCTTCGCGCCCACGGACGAATCTCGGAGATGCACCTCTGCGCCGAGCTCCATGCTGAATAACAGGAGATGGACCTGTTTGAAGAAAGACAGCCAAGGAAACAGCAACCGTTAGTCTTGTATACTCAACGAAGGAACGACAACAACTACAACCGACGCGGCAAGCAAGATCAACGCGACAACAGAGGACTCACCATTGTGCCGCCGTTCTGCCACAACTGTCAAACACCTGGACACTCCAAAGTCAACTGCACACGTCCCCGAGCTTATCGTCCAGTAGACCCACAAGTCGCTTCCACTCAAGATAGCCCGCCGAGGCGTTCCTCCACATCTGCACAAGGCACACCGAACATCATCAATTGCATGGTACACATCGACAACTGCGCACCCGGATCACCGCCCACTTACGCTCCAGATGAAGAAGAACTGTCGCCGCTGTGCTCACAAGGACTTCAGGTCAACCCAACGTACGCTGCAGTCGCCAACACCGAACCCACCGGGCGAAACACTTGGTTCTTGGACAGCTGTTGCGGCCAACATATGTGTTCTTCCGGGCGCTTCGTGCAACGGGAGCGACGTCTCAACCGCGATGTCATCATCACCGTCGCCAACAACGAGAACCTGAAAACAAACAGACAAGGAGTGGTTCAGTTGCAGTCCATGGAGACAAACGTTATACTGCAACTCAACAAAGTTCTCATCGTCGACAATTTGGGATACAACTTACTCAGCGTCAGCCAGTAAATGGCAAAAGGGATTCACCTGGAATGCGACTCGGACTCCAACGAATTTCGCCTTTACCACGGGAAGGGCGGTCTTTTCATCAGTCGCGCTCTCCTGAAGTCAGGTGTCTTCGTGTTGGATTTCGTCCCCGACCGCGGTACTGCCGACAGCGATGGCATCGTGTCGTTCGCCGCATGGACGCACCCGCCGGATCTTGACCCCGACTTCACCCAAGATGGTTTCTGGTATTCCAACACCATACCTGCAGCAGAGAGAACATGAGCGTTAGCAGTCATTCGACAAGAAAGACAAGTACCAGCAAGCGTCCCTTCCTCGACATCACCTGAAGTAACAGCAGCGGGACCCAGCCGAGTACCATCACCAGCAATCCGAGGACCGCCAACCGAAGCAGATCAACTTATGCCCATCACACGAGAAGTCTGCCGAAGTCCCGCCACGGTCGTCGCGTTCTTCTCCAACGCCGACATGTACCAACGCTCGCCCGGCCATCGCGCCCCCGACGACATCTGGCACCAACGCCTCGGGCACCCTGCAAACAACAAAGTACTACAAACCATCCAAGCCGAAGTGTTAGAACGAAACGCTCTTCTTACAACGAGCGGCCAAGAACTTCGACGACCACGCGCACGGTGCTTCACGTGCCCCGAAGCAGATCTTCCCCACCAACCCTTTCGATCACATCACAACCCAAGCGCACCTGCATACGCACCGATGGAAAAAGTTTACAGCGACATCTTAAACATGCCTCGAGACGACACAGAAACCGACTTCAACTATGTCATCACGTTCATCGATGCAGCAACAAGATATGTCTGGCACTACAACCTCAAGACACGCGATCAAGCTTTCGAAGCGTTCATGACGTGGCTCCCCATCGCTGAACGGGAATCAGGAACTAAACTCAAGAGCTTCCAGACAGACGGCGCACTGGAATACCAGTCACAACGCTTCAGGAACTACTTGGCGGAAAGAGGAATCAGACGCGTGGTGTCTCTGCCCTATGCACACCA